CTGCATGACCCTGAATTTGCAGGCTTTCCGACTTCAAGGGTAACTCGAGTCAGCGAGGCACTCGGCAGGAAAGGAAATTGGAACAAGTATGGACAAGCAACGTTCGCGCAGCACCTGCCACCTGCAGCAGCCTGCGGCGGACAGCAGGCAACACGCAGCAGCTTTGCAAGCGCTTTGCAGCGGCAGCAAATCCACACGGGGCCATGCGCCAGCTCTCACTGCGTTTGCAGCTTCTCAAGAGTCGCAGCATCGCGAAAGCCACACAGTAAGGGCCGAACCTCCCCGCTGTGGTTGACCTGGCAAGGTTCAGGGGGTCGCCCTCTGTTCCTTTCCGGGTGGGCCTGGGATCGTCCACCTTGTTAGTCCACACTAGAGCCGTATTGCTCTTGCCAAGTGTTTTGCCAGTTTTTGTCTGTATGCAGGCGGGGCATGAGGTTTGGGTGGCACCCAGCGTCACGTCTCACCGAGCCAGTTCCGCTAGTGGGACCCTGCAAAGCTGCTGGGGCGAGTGCTGGTTTCATTCGCGGGGTTGCGACGGTTGCGACGTCGTATAGAGGGCATGCAGTTAATTCACGCGTGCGGCTACGCCGACTCCGCTAGCATGGCCAAAACATAAGCCATTCTTGTTGCTTTGCTTATCGAGCACTTTCCGCGGCAACGTGCAAGTTAGCACGAAGCGCGAGAGGGCATGGGCCAGGGCGGGTCGAGAGACGGAATGACAACCAATCAGCCTTAGAAATCTTAGAAGGCAACGCTGTGGGAGTTGCTCGCGCTCACAGTTTATTCATCCGCTTCTGCATACCTGCGTGTAAGGCCGTTTTCTTGCGGTTCCGGACGAGGCTGGCATCGAGAAGTCAACAGGGGTAATATAAAGGTGTCTCATGGTTTTTTCAACTTCATGTCTTTCCACATCTATCAGTTGAGTCTGGGTGTGCGATTTGTGACTTCGGACAGAGCAACGATGGACTTCTATTGCCCGTGCTCGATTCATGCCGTCAGTCTGCCGAACGGCATACCGGGTGCCTGTGGTTCATTCGGGGAAGCAAGCGCCAGGAATGGCACCGCAAGCTGCACATACTTCTGGAGGCTGAGGGCGGACGAGCCGTGGCTGCTGCCTACAGGCTGAACGCAAGCGCGCAGTTTTTCTTGGAGGGGAGGAATCACGTCGATGGCATTCGCAGTCACTTGCGCACACAGTTGTGAGCCACCTGCCGGCATAGCATCCGTAACCCTGCATGACAAACATCTGGCAACTGATAGTTATCAAGTCTAGCCATGTGCACCCGCACAATTTCCGTAAGCGCCAGAGCGCGATTTGTACAGTGGCAACGCAACAAACTGACAACAAAACAACCAAGTGGTTTGACAGCAGTGTTCTCCAGTACCACCACTGCCCAGTGCACTAGCATCTCAAAGGCCCTAAAACTTTGGCCAGCGTTCCTGTGTGCAAATGTTGTGTTTCGCAGACGGTGGAAAGGAAATGGGCAGTTTCCGATCAGAGCATTCTGAAATTTCCATTTTGCAAAGAGACAGACGTGCACATATCCACCGGTCCTGAATCCTTTTTTATAAGTCAAGGCCGAGAATCAAGAATATGTTTTTGTTCCACTCTCCTGAAACTGGAAAGCCAGCCTCTCATCGTTGTAACTCGGGGGGGGGGGGGGGGGCGCGCCGGTTGTGAAAGGCACCGCGATTGTGGCCCTTGGGCTGAAGTTAAGGTACCATGGATTTCTGATCTTCGGCCAACGACTCCATGAACAGAGCTATCACTGTACAAGGGCTCAGGAAATCTTGTTTGAAGAGATGCAGTTTCGAAAATGCTGCTCTAGAAGAACGAGGACTCAAGCTTCAGAATGTTCATGTTCATTAGGGAGGGGAATAGGGTTAGTGTTAGGTGTACTCGACTGCATGGTCATCTCCACAGTACAAAGTAGCATAGTACTTGGATGTTGCTGACATCCTGCACTCGTCAGCTGCCAATTCAACAGTCTCAGTTTATTGGCACAGGTCCCTGCGGGCAGCTCTTCCAAGGAGGGACAATGACGCGGTGTGCGCAACTCTGAACCAGCAGCTTGGTAGTCAACCGTTTGTAAATTCTGCCCTAACCCCTAAACCCCAAACCCTAAACCCTGTTAAGTCCCGAATCGAAAAGTTTTGGGCCATTCTTGGTTCTAGTCGTGGTTATCCTTGCGGTGCACTCCAGGGTTACGGGGCACATCGTGGCAGCACAATCCGCGCTCAAGCCGGAGCTAGGTAGCACAAACCCGAATGACATGCGTTGCTGATGCTGGTTTTTCGCGAAACATCAGTAGTTGTTGCAAAAAGCCAATGTCAAAACGTCAGGCTTGCGACGGACATCGATGCCCTTACAGAGACTCGGCTGGATCGTCCGGCTTCTCCGAACAGCATGTTCCGCTCGAAAAAGTTGCATAATTTTGACGCTACGCGACCCGCCTGGGCCCGGCCCAGCGCATCCGCGTGAGCATGGTGATTCCGCAGCGCCCAAGTCGCTGGACCCCAAGCAATAAGGGTTTGGTTCAGGGTTTAGGGTTTAGGGTTCCGGGTTTATGGTTTATGGTTTAGTTTAGGATTGAGGGCTTAGGGCTCAAGGTTCACGCTTTGGGGTTTAGGGTTTTTTTGGGAGCAGGGTTCAAGACGGTTGGGCTTGGATTGATCGTAGGGTTGAGCCAGGCCCCTCGTTGGGGTAAGGGGAGTGGGGGGGGAACGAGTGCTTCGGGCTTTTGGTTTGAGATGTTTGGTTCAGGGTTTTCGCTCAGACTCAAAAAACCCGCTCACCAACTGCAGTGCGGGGAGGGGGGAGGGGGGGGGGGGGGGGGGGGGGGGGGGTGGGTGCGTCCGGGGGGCGGGGGGGGTGTGGGGGGGGGGGGATATGGGCCGCCTGCGGGCGGGGCTTGAACTCCTATGGCCTGGCGAACCGTCCGCTTGAGACCCCGTTTTCTGGGGGGGGTACCCATTTGATGGCAAAAAAAAAAGGGGTTCCGAAGCAGTTGAGGATTGGGAGGGGGGTGTGCCTGTTCTACAACCCTAGACAACCTCAGGCCCGAGGCCTCGGCGGAATTTGCGGCCGTGCTCACACCAGTGGCCTCCGGCCTAAAGCCAGCGCCGTCCGAGCAGGAAAACCAGCCTTTCACAAACACCTTATGTGGCAAGCCCCCAGACATTCAATTAAGAAAGGGGTTGGGCAAGAGATGCCCAAAACTGTAAAACGATGGGAACACTTGAAAAGCGACACCCCGATGGTATGAACATTTGGTGTGTGGCGCGACACCCCAAAAACATCAAGACCCTCTGTTGCGTCCATTCACCTGCGAGCCCAGCCGCTTCATGTGGCTTTTTGGGGGAGGGACAAAAAGGGGGTGGGGGGGGTAGGGAGGGGGGTTGGGGGGGGAGGGGGGTTGGGGGGGGTGGGGGGGGGGGGCGGGGAAGGGGGGGGAGGGTGGGGGGTAGGGGGGGCGGGCCAGGGGGGGGGGGTGGTCGGGAGGGGGTAGGGGGGGGGGTAGGGGGGGCGGGTAGGGGGAGGTGGGGGGGAGGAATGGGGGGGGGGTGGGGGCCGGGGTGGGTCAGCGGGTGAATAAGGGGGGGGGCCCTGCTGGGAAGGGCTGCAACTGCCTCTGGTCCTGGCGAACCATCCGCTTGCGGACCCTGCTCACCTAGGGGGGGTACCCATTTGAGGCAAAAAAAGGGGTCCGGTTTTGGGCCTGGGGGAGGATTTGGAGGGGGGTGCCTGTTCTGACTACCAATACACCTTCGGCCCGAGGCCTCGGCGGATTTCGGAAAGGCCCTTACAGAAACATGATAGCAAAGTAGAAGCTAAACATGTATGAAGCGACTTCAGCATGGCAAGACCGCGGGCACAAAACTGTCCGAGCAGCTGTCCTTCCTTTTTCCCCGTTTAGCTTGACAAAAATGTCACGAAGACACTGTACCCTCACTCGACACAAACGGCATGGCTTGGGCTTTGTCAACCACTACACAATCCCTGTCGAAACATCAACCACCTAGCCTAGCCATGAGACCATTAAACAATAGGTTTGCCCCCCCCCCCCCCCCCGGCCCCTTAGGTGCAATGCCAGGCCATTAAGTTAATGGACTGGCTGCCAAGTAGCTATGAAACCAATCTTCGCCGTATGGAATGATTCAGTGGACGCAGTGGACGCATGACCATCAAACCTCCATTAACCCGGACCATTAATTAGGCCAATCATTTTTGCCCCTAGGAGGGGGAAAGTATTAAACCAATGGCAGAACTGATCGGTCAAAATGTGCCCAAAACACATGCGAATCGCCATAATGGGGGGGTTACCCATAGGTCTCATATCTATCTATCTATCTATATATATATATATATGTATATATACATAGAGTCCTTGGTTCTGAATATGTATCATAGAACTATATGTATATGCATCTGTGTACATATATATATATATACATGTATATGTATGTATACAGGTAGTGCTTACCTACTTTTGTTTGATTCGGGGCGTTGGGCTTTGCTGGGAGCCCCAGGGGTGCCCAAACAAAGCCAAGAAGACGAACGACGGCGTTCAAAAACTCAAAAGGATGCCCGCAAAGTTTTCCAGACATCGTGAAGGTTGACTCTAGGATCCGGGGGCCGACTCATGTTATTCGGTTTTATTCAGGCTCGGAGCCCAATGATTCAGGATGCAGGCCAACACACATGGCTCCAGTCACCACTTGACTTTTTCTTCATGGGGGTTCTCCGGCGGCATGTCGGCTCGTGTTCTCCGATGCATCATGATTTGTCGCTGTGTTGTCATTACATTGTCATTGTTGTTTGGACACCATTATGAACCTCTTGCGCCCCATCGATTTGCTTCGAAAGTACGCAGTCGCCAATCAGTTCGCGCACGAACCTTGGTTGCACTAGCTGGCGATCTTAAGGAGGGTTCACGGTCTGCTGTGAGGAGTTCCAGCGGGACCAGTTCAATCAGAAAGACTGCCGTGGCGAAGCGCTGATGCTAATACGCTTGTGGAAGTATTCCTACCCAGCCCTCGACATGGAAGAAGCAGCGGTGTGGATCTACACGGAAGGCCGGGCATGCAGGAGCTAGTTATGCAGCTAGCTGATGGCAGGTCTCAAAAGTGCGCGTCTCTAGCTTGAATTGATGGAAGTGCATGTGTTCATTTTGGCCAGGCTTCTAGTCTCTTGCGCAAGGACTTTAAAACCGCCAAGTTGCCATAGTCGAACCTGTAGATCTGCCGGGAAGGAATGATAGGGAGACGCGCCGTGCCGTTTGAGACAGTCTTGGTTTAGTCAAACCAGAGTCACAGTCTCTAGAAGCAGACGTGCTATTATGGAGCTTCCCAGCAGCAGTAGTTAGCTTCTCAGCTCTTTGAGGAAGCTCGCCGCTCCTGCCGGCTTTGCATGCGATCATCGGCCTGAGGAAGCTGGATGGCATCTCTGGGCCACTGCAGGAGCATTGGCAGAGTCAGGGACGGCTGTGCATGGCCGAGCCCCATCGACAGTGCCTTGGGGGGATCGAACATACCGTAACATACCTATTATGAATATTAGGCTTTTGGAGAATCTCAGGCGGAGTCCAAGCCGAAAAGCTGCCCCTCTTTACCTATTCTCCACTGCCAAAACCTGCGCGAGGTTTCTGGACTGCCTGGAAAGTGGCATGTCAGTACGCGCCTATTGCCTCCAAGTCTGGAGACACTTGCCTGTGGAAACAATCGCGGCACTTGAAGACGCGTGACTCGTTCTGCATACAGTCTCGCTAGCCCGATAGTGGACCCAGCATAGCCAGGTTCATGTTGTATTGATGTCTTGGTTGCACAACGCTTCAGATGGAGCACAGATGCATACACGTTTGTCCAACGTCTTCGATACATTTTCTAGAGGTCCACTGCACCAGGGCAGCATATCCAATACAGGTAGTTTGACAATTCTGCCAGTGAAAGAGCTGGAATCTGACGTGCCGTAGCTTTTGCGGTCAGGTCACCACTTTGGGAAAGGTCACACAAGTAACATGGAGCACTCGGCATCCCAAAACTTGTGTTGGCACCGTGGCCCAGGTTCAACAACTGTATCGAGGCACTTCTGCGATACTGCTCTGTTCGGCAAAGATTCGTCAGCCGACTGTCACTCGCCATGCCTTTGCGGTCCTGCGGTGATCAGTGTGCTTGCGTGTGCCACTGCTGAGATCAGCTGAGGCTTCCTGGGGATAGCCACCTCCAGACACTGAGCGCCAAGCAAGAGAACGTTATTCGAGCAGGATGCTGCATGGAATCATTGGATTCAAGGGCTGGTGCCAGACGCGGGCAACGTCACAACGACAAGCCGATACAGCGACAACAACAGCAATAACAACAAAAGCAACGTGAACAGCTGCGGCAACACCAACTAGCAACTAACAAGCAGCAAGCACAACAGCCAGCAAACAACCGAAAATAGCAAGAACACACAACACGAATCATCACGCACGAACGCACAACACACAGGACGGGCAAACACAAAGCCAGCTCAAGCAGCATCACATCAAGGAACCAAACACCAATTAAGACACCCCCGCTGCAACATCCACATACTTCCAGTGGTCGATGCGTGTTTTGAAAGAGCCGGGGCTCGCAGAATGGACCTGACAATGGATGTGGTCGCGAGGCCCTGAGGTGATCCCACGAGGTTGCACGTCTTATCCCGGGAGTCGAGGGTTTTCCGGTGCAAACGAAAAACGAAACCATGGATCAATCTGGTTCACTCATCTAAGTGCATCCGCACCATCCCATCGTCAGTCTGAGTCTAGTTGTGGGTTTGGGTTAACATGGTCAACGGTTTGGACTTGCTGGGAACAGGTCTTCTTCGTTTGACTTTTCTGGCAATGATGCCAATGTGGTGGGCAAGGGAATTGTTCTGTTAAAGACGGTGAAAAGATATTGCTTTGGGAAGTCTATTGTAACAATGTGAAAAGGAGTTATGATTTCGGAGCAAATGTTTGACTTGATATACAAGTATAGATTCAGATTTGTCTACTACGTGACGTGGCTCGTTTCATGGGCATCGTGTGAAGACACCCGCCGAGCTTCGCATCACGTACATTGTTTCCGAAGCCACATGCACCTGGGCAGAAGTGTGAAGTCCACGAGCTGTCATGGCTGGGGCCTCGGGTGAAGTGAAAGAAGAGGCGCTTCTTCAACAACCAGAGAGGGCCTGAACGACATCAGCGCGAACGGGGTACCCGACTAGTGCCAGTGCTTTCGGTGGCCGAAGCGCTAAGGGCCCTACACAGGGGCCCGCAAGAATTCGATGGTTCCCTACGGCCCTCCGGAGTGTGCGCGCGAGAACCGAGATGGTAGCTGAGTTATTGTTTTGCCGTCTGGATGTAAAGCCTTCTTGCAAGTGAGCTTGTCACGGGAGGACGCCTGGCCCTGCTGCAGATGCGCCGAGTTGCAGATGCACAGCGCATGCAGCCCTCAGCTAAGATTTGAGCAGTGCTAGAAACATGTGCGTGGATGGTAGCCCATCACCAGGTCAACATGCCCTTCTGAAGCCACATGACAAATGCTAAGTGCTTGTGGCGCGATCTTCGGTGTCACGCTTACTGATGCTGCAAGGTTGGCCAGCGAGGCGATGTCAAGCTGCTACCGTGATGAATAGGATGGTCCAGGATCTACGCGCAGAAGCTTCAAGCCTCTTCAAGCTCAAATGTATAGTAGTCGCGAAGCGACTAAGTAGTCGCTACCCCCCCTGGCGAATCCCTTCGACGCCCTGAGCTCCAGCTTTTCTGATCGGCGAAGCCCGGAATTGCTCATCGGCCGGCAAAGAGGGTGTGCACTTTGGCCTTGGCACGTCGCTACAAGAATTGCACAAGCAACATTTTGCGCACAAGGGCATCGCAGCCCACCCTCGCAGCCCAAATCTTGGTCTGATGTGCCACTGCAATCCTCACGCAGACACGCTTTGCTGTGCAAAGGTGTTGCTGCATGTTGCTGCTCGTTTTCGAAGGGGCATGCTCGCCCTTTTGCTCCAACACAAGGTGCAACGTTGACGCTGATGGCGTAAAGCCCTAAATCCTATGCAAAAAAGCCCTGAGTTCTTGTTTAAGCCCTCGCCATCAATGCTTACTGCGCAAACCTTCCTGTAAGTTGCAGTGTGAATTGCTGTGCAACTTTGGTGTAGCTTATGCTACATTCGAA